AACAACTTCATAAAAATCGAATTTCAAAAAAGAATAAGAAATTTCAAGAATGATAGAACATACAGAAATTCACAACCAGATTATCAGAAATCAATTTCATCTGTAACAGTCGATTGTGAAAGACTAAAACTTCAAATTTATCACGATTGAGAAAGAATCCAAATAAGGTAGTGACTGTAACCCTCGATTCAAGTCTCTAGGTCAGATTCCAAAATTAAATCAAATAACCTGATTAACTTCACATTGGTGCTATATCAGAAAAAAGAAATCGAAAACAAGAAGGGAAACAATAGAGTTTCTCATTTTCTGAAATCGTGAAAAGAACGAGACGCAATCAGTCTCTCAATTCTAAAATAACATTTGATTCACTAAGGGGGTGTTTGGATAGGGAAAAAAAAATAGGCTGTTTATTGCTTAATCTCACCGCAATAAGCAAATTTAAGTGTTTGGATAGGAGTCTTTAAAAATCAGCTTATTGCGGTAGGAATAAGCCAAATAAGCTGATTTTAATAAGCAAGGAGGGGAATGCTTATTGCTTACTGCTTATTGCTTATTGGTCATTTTACTCATATAAGCTGTTTTGTTTGCCAAACACTTAAAATGCTTATTGCTTATTCCCACCACAATAAGCTAATCCAAACACATTTTAAAAAAATGCATATTCCCACCACAATAAGCAAATAAGCAATAAGCTAATAAGCTAAAAACTATTTATCCAAACACCCCCTAATGGTTGTTGTTGACGAATTCAGAAAATCAGAAAAAGAATGAGAAGTAATCGATTAACTTGAAATCTTGAATAAGAAATATAAGAATGATCGTTAACTCTTGCGTTTGGAGAAGTCATCGTTTGGATTTTCCATAGAAATCTGTCAGTTGAAGAGCTACGACGCCTTGGAAGTCGGACGCACGCCAGGTAAGTCTCGTTCCCTCCCACGCTCCATGTTTTGGATTAGTGGCTGATTAGAGTATTGGGCTTTGAACAACTAGTCCAACATGCTAAAAAGTAATGGGTTGTTAATATATAACCAATATAACAAGTTAAAAATTGGGGTCCTTTGGCATTTTGGGGCCCGGGGCGGTCACCCAGCTTGCCCAGGCCCATAGGCCGGCCCTACCCGAAGCCTTATGAGAATTGATCTTTGGGTCACGGTTCGAAACTATGGAACGACTCGAAACAAGGTGTTACAATCAACATATAATTCCATGAAAAACATATCAATATATTTTTTATATATAATTCATGTGTAAATTTGATACAACTTTTCATGACTTTTAATAAGCATATACTAAGTCTGGTGTACATACATATTCATATGTGAATATTATGTGGTATATTTAGTCTATGCATTTTATCAAACAGTTGGTATGCATACAAGTTACTTTCTCAAAAAAGCTCTGAATTTAATATGTATTTCACCACGCTGAAGAAAAGAAGAAAGATTGAACAATTTATTGAGCATATTTCATGAAAATCGTAATTAAGTATTGTATTTGCTTCATTTTTTTAAGAATCGATTCACTACAATCTTCAAAAATAACTCACATTTAACAATCGGTTCAGTATGTGCTTCATTTTATACGAATTGATGAAGAATATCTTAATCAAGTTCAGATTTTAGGTGTGAATCATTAAGAGAGTAGTTGATATCTTGCAGATTTGATTATAGAGGAGAAGATAAGATCGATGCTAACCTAGATTTAGATTCAGGTATAAGATTACAAGTAACAAAAATACCCCTCACTACTAAAAATAAAAGGCACATCTTTTTTTTTTTTTTTTTTTTTTTTTTAGAATTAGTAGCTGAGATTTGTTCTCGCATTCTCAAACCCGGTAATTGTTCTCATTTGAACCTAAATCGTATATGAAATTCCACAATTTTATATGATACATATTATTTGAAATAACAAGTAACACGTTTAGCAAAAAGTTAAAGAAAAAAGTGGTTACATCTTCGACAATTTACATTAAATAAAAGGAAACTTGACGTGATTCACCTGTTAATACCAATTTTGGTGGTTCAAATATTAATAGTATTTCATTAGAAGATGTCGAATTTAAACATTTAACAAATTTGTGTAAATGCTATTTTTGATTTTGTACTATACTTGGCTTTGTCACTAATCATACGACATATTTCCCAAGCTAATTCAACATTATATACGACTCACATAACTCAACTTGCGTATGAATCACTTGATATAATTTCAAAACATTGGCGATATATAACCTGATAAAAGTCATATCTCTTGAAATAAGCACATCATGAACATCTAAAGTATATTAATATTAAAATTTAAACACCGGTGAAATATATAATTAATTGAAACGATATAACCAATTATAGTTTTCATGATGTTGACCGATCAATCATAAATTTCTTAAATATTTGGATTTAAAGTTCTTCAATGCCAAAGTTTGTGGCCTTCTAGTATGTATATCACAACAACGGGTGTGGTTTCCTACCACCTTAAGCTCCATCTCCTTCCACCTCACCACAATCTTCTTCTATACCAACAATAGTATTAATATCACGACGTCACAAAAAGTTTTGCAGGAAAAAGAAGGAAAATAATAAAGTATAAAAAAATATCATTGGACGTGTTGTTTTGTGTTCTTGATGACATTCATTGCACCACTTAGCCACAAAACCTCATCGGGACGGCGTGCACGGTAGTGGTGCACCTTCCATCTGGCCACAAAACCTTATCGTTGTATGTATACCAAACGGCCTAACCATCCAACGAAGCGGCGATGACGACATATCTTCCGAAGTGATATATGATTTAATATTTTCAACATAATTCGAATTTTAATAAAATGTTTTTTTTTTCACAATATATAAAATAGTTAAAATATATAAGACATAATTTCATGAATGGTCCTTATGCTTTCATATATATATATATATATATATATATATATATATATATATATATATATATATATATATACACACACACACACACATTGGTGGAAGATGGTGCCCATAGCCACAATAAGTTGGTAATATTACTATTGATAACAGTGTTCTTTTAGGTTACAAGCAATAACAAAAATGAATGAGATTAAATTATATGGTTTAATTTGTTAATTAATTGATTTTTTTAATTAATTAAATGAAACATGGAAAATTGGAACGTTCTAGATACATGATTTGAATATTAGATAATTACCAAAGTTACATATAATTATACTAAGACCAGATAATTATATGTTAGGGTTTGAATCTTCCCCCTGTAAATAGAGAGACATAAACCCATATTTGAGTACTAGAGAAATTAGTTAAAACCCTCAAAAATTCAGTGGTGCTCTCCAGATCTCAAAATAATCTAAAACCTACTTCCAGTTTGAGTGATTTCCAGCTTGTTGTTTGCTTTTTGGGTGCGATCACGAAATAAAGATTCTTCTTTGGATCTTCCAAAGTCCAATCAACTGACGAAGTCTCGGAAATCGAAGATCACAAAAGTATCATTTCTTTCCTTCTTGTTTTTCTTAATTAGGTTGCCTAGATATGGTTGAATATGGTTCATCTATTGGGTTCATGAGTTATGTTTTTGATTATTTGTATGCTTCATATACCATCCCAAAGCATATCCAATGGGAAGAAAAGGTAACATGTCTAACAAAACATAATACTGCTCTTTCAAAAAAAAAAACATAATACTTTACAAAAAATGATGCTAACATCTAACATGTCCAAGAACAAAAGAAAATACAATGTGAAATCAAATTCAAATTAAAACATAATACTTCCAAAAAAAAAAATCCAAACTAACAGGTTTAAGAACGCAAACTACCCTATTTTTTTGCATATACCCAAACATCATCAATCAATTATTGATGAACTCTTATGAGAACATAATCTCTTCCTTTTGGATTATGAAATTACATCAAATAGTTTGACCCTTTTTTTCTTGATAATATTTCTCTCACCACTCATCTATGTGGTAGGCATCTACGACTTTGGACTTTAAAAAATACTTATCAAAATTTGAAGAGGAACCGTCCAAATTTACTCGACGAAGACAACTTCTCTTAGGTGCGCAAAGCCATGACAAGGGTACAATATTGGATAATGAACCTTTATTAAATATAAACATGATGGTGTTTTATGTGTAGTAAGATTCTTCGAAATCCGTTTTTTTCTCGAAATCTTTGACCCTATTGACTTTCTAAAACTTTATTATTGTTCTCGAAGGATTTGCGATAGTGGCAAGGGCTTCGATAGGTGGAGGAGGTGGGTATTTTTTTACTTTTTATATGGGGGAGTTTTTTTATTTATTTATTTATTTATTTTTTTATTTTTATAAAAAAATAAAAACTAGGATGGGGAAGAGGACATTAAAGATAAAGGGGAAGAAAGAGTGAGACAAAGAAAACGATATAGTGCATATTAGTCATTTAGGAGCACATGTATGGTTTATATGCTTTTTAAGTCGGTAAGTTTTTAATTGTATTCAATTGACTAAAATATTTTTTTTGGTTTTGTTATACCATTATATCATCAGATTGGGTATGGTTGTCCTAATAAAAAACATAATCAATAGTATAATAAAATCACAAAAATATTGATGGTTAATGACATATTAAGGATGAACATGAGACGAAACTGGTACCAAACTGAGATACCCGAGTATCGAATTGGATGGAAAGTTGATACTGAGCACCAAACTGAACTAACATATCGGTACCGGTACCGGTACCGGAAATGATACTGATCGATACTGACGGTGCCGAATCCTAAATTTTATGATTTTAAAGTACCGAATACCGTCTTATGTTAACATAAAATAACGTTTATTATCGATTCACATCGAAAATTTAAATATTTTTACTCACCCCTAAACATACATTTGGAAGAATAAAAGTTTACCGAGTTAAAAGGCACATAAAATGTTTTTGTTTGTGTTGGTTGTTCTATGCCACTATTACGACAGTATGAATATTTATTTTTAAATTTATAATTAAATTGATTAAACATTTTTAATTTTTAATGTGAAAATCCCAATTGTCACCCACAAAATTCAATGCGTCTTGAGTTCAGAGCTTTTCCAGATTGAATCTGGTTTCTTTCAAGTCCGAATTCATCCTCATCTTTCCATGTTTCTCTCGGATTGCATGGGCGTTGACTATTTACCGGTGGACCTTCATAAAGCAAAGGCCTCCATGGCTCCAACTCTCCCACCTCCACCACCTTTCTCCTCTTTTGACTCCAATGCGTACGCCCAAATCTGCACGAAACTTCACATGCATATCACATACTCATTACTTTATCAATTGAAACACCCATCTGTCTGATTCGAGAATCTAATTTGAACTTTTGGTTGGGAAGTAATAGCAGCCGGTGGGTGAAAAGAGCGAGAGACATAGAACCATATTTGAAGCGTTGCTTAGGGTTCATTGCCAACCCACTTGGGAAAAAGTGTTTTCTGTTTCTGATAGATACATTGAACCTGGATGGGATTTGAGGCTTGAGGGCGTTCTGCGTAATTGGTAAAGTATTTCTTTTCAATTGTTTATGTTGTTGCGGTTTCTGGATAATTATTCTATTATTCTTGAACCATCAAGTGTGCTGTGAGAAAAGTATGATTGTTTTTTATTATTATTATAGGATTTCTAACTTTCTAGGCTTATAATCATGTGAACGCCACTGATTTTGGACTTTTTTTGCTTAATTTGGTACTATTGTAAACTTTAGACTTTTAAAGTTAATAGAGTTAGGTTCTCACTTCGAAATTTGATATCAGATCATGCTGTTAAGCAACAGTTCTTGATAACTATGATGAGCTATGAAAAAAGGTTTCTAGAATTGATATACATAGTGTAAACTTTGAATCAGCAATGGGTAACAGGTTAGTGGAGGACTCCTTTAGATACTATAGATGTATTGGTGAATCCACTATCAGTGGTGTTCATGGAAGGCATATGTATGATTGGAGGAAAGTAGGTATGAAATCAAGTTTGCTTCCTCTTCACTCATGTCAATTTGTGCACCCCATGCATTATATGCATGTACATTATGCATGAACATGTTGCATGTATAAAAACAAGTATTATTAATTTGTGCACAATGTTGCTGTAATTTGAACAAGTTAAAAGGGGTTTATTTGATTTCATTAAGTTTTCTTTTATAGTTTGAGTCAGTTATTGGTCACTATTATTATCAACATGCATCACTTATTAAAGATGAAGTAAATAAAATAAAATATACCCTGAGCTCTTATGCCAATGAGGCCAATGTCTACCTGATTTATATCTTAGTGGTTGCTGGAAAAATATCCCTTTTGCAGAACAATGAAAGAATATATTCTGCAAAATTGTCTCTTTCCATTGCAGAAACTGATTTGCCTTTATTTATGACACTGAATTTATCTTGTAACTTTTAATGGTTGTTATGAGAGGGAATAAACAAGGAGACCAAAAGAGAAGAAAAAAAGCGGATTTTGGATGTGGATATTAGTTCTTTGAACTTGTTCCACTAATACACTATTCATATAAAATGGCATCAATTTACATCATATTCTTTGAGTTCATAACTAAAGAAGACATTGACACTTGTCGATTTGTCACAATTAAAAATGTTCCTTAATGGTCACTGTCAAGAGAATTATTTGACCAAAAAGGTCCAACTATGACTCCTAAAGGCTAGTTATGTCTTTCACCTTTTTACATGGGAAGTTGCTGAGAAACAATGTGTGGACTATTACAATTTGTGTTCCACAAACTCCATTGCATGACCTATTTAAGCTTAACGTTCCCCATATTCTTCAATAACTTTCTTTAGTCTGCTATTCTTCAGTATGCATGCATATCCCCTTAATTCTAAGAACAGATTATCTCTTGTATATCTGATAAAGTTCCAATTTTGACACTCTTCTTGTTTGGTGAAATACAGGTGAGTTTGTTAAGTTAAGTATACTCTACAATGGCTCATCAAGATAAGGATCATGAAACAAAGGACATGGAGACAAGAACTTTTATCCCCTCACAGAATGTACCTTACATTCACAAAGTTGGAATACCCCCAAAACAAGGTCTCTTGAAGGAATTCAAAACCACAGTGAAAGAAACGTTTTTTTCAGATGATCCTCTACGCCCTTTTAAAGATCAACCAAAATCTAGACAATTTATGCTTGGCCTTCAAGCAGTGTTCCCAATTCTTGAATGGGGTAGAAATTATAATCTCAAAAAGTTTAGAGGAGACCTTATTGCAGGACTCACCATTGCAAGTCTTTGTATTCCTCAGGTACTACTATAACTATATGTTTTTCTCATGATATATATTTTTAAACATAAACAACATTTTAACATTCATATTTGATACTATATTCCAGGACATTGGGTACTCAAGACTTGCAAATTTACCTCCTCAGTTTGGACTATGTAAGTTTTTTTTTCCTTTGTGTAATTTAATTTCTTGATAATGAGTCTGATTTTTGTTTTGACTTTTTTGTAGACTCAAGCTTTGTGCCCCCTTTGATTTATGCATTTATGGGTAGTTCAAGAGATATAGCCATTGGACCAGTTGCAGTGGTGTCTCTCTTATTAGGGACACTTCTTCAAAATGAATTTGATCCAGTGAGTGATGCACTTGAGTATCGTAGGCTTGCGTTTACAGCTACATTTTTTGCAGGGATTACCCAAGCTACCCTTGGAGTTCTCAGGTAAACCAATGGTCAACATGAGTTTGACCTCTTGTTTATGTTTGATACTGTAAATCATCTGAACATGGAGTTTTATTTATTTATTATCAGATTAGGGTTCCTTATTGACTTCCTATCACATGCTGCTGTTGTTGGATTTATGGGTGGAGCTGCCATCACTATCGCTCTTCAACAACTCAAGGGCTTTCTTGGAATAAAACATTTCACAAAGAAAACTGATATTATTTCTGTAATGAAATCAGTTTTTGGGTCTATTGATCATGGGGTGAGCTCTTTTATCTCTTCACTATCATTCAACATTTCATAAAGCCCATATGAACAATCTTTCTTGTAAATATTTCAGTGGAATTGGCAGACAATAGTGATTGGAGCAAGTTTTCTAGCTTTCCTACTCTCGGCTAAATACCTTGTAAGCATTCATGAGTCCTAAAACCGTAAATAATTTGAAATTTTTGTAACTCTAATGTAATTTTACTCACAGAGTAAAAAGAATAAGAAGCTCTTTTGGGTGTCTGCAATTGCACCATTAATCTCAGTTATCTTGTCTACTTTATTCGTGTACATCACACATGCGGATAAGCAAGGTGTTGCAATTGTAAGTACTAAGTACTATTACTTTTATTTCCTTATTTTACAAATGTTTTTTTTTTATCTTAATAAAGTTTAATTATTTTAGTTTCTTTAATTCTCACAGGTGAAACATATAGAGAAAGGAATCAACCCTCCATCTGTAAATGAGATTTATTTCTCGGGTGAAAATCTTTTAAAAGGGTTTCGGATTGGTATAGTGGCTGGCATGATAGCATTAACGGTATGTGTTCCTTTCATTGATTAGAGGGGCATTCATGTCTTTTCCCACTCACCAATTTTTCTTTTGTTGATGCATCAGGAAGCTGTTGCTATTGGAAGAACATTTGCTTCAATGAAAGACTACCAAGTAGATGGGAACAAAGAAATGATAGCATTGGGAACAATGAATGTTGTAGGCTCAATGACATCATGCTATGTTGCAACAGGTATAAATATATCACAAAAAAAACTAAAGTGGATTCATTTGTTATATTAGTTTCTAGTGATTTAAATTTGATATGTATTTTTTTCTTTCTGTTATGTTTTTGACTTTTTTCAGGTTCTTTTTCACGATCAGCTGTAAATTACATGGCAGGATGCCAAACAGCAGTTTCCAACATAGTGATGTCATTAGTTGTATTTTTAACCTTAAAATTCTTGACACCACTTTTTGAGTACACCCCAAATGCAATCCTATCTTCCATCATCATATCTGCTGTAATTGGTTTAATCGATTATGAAGCTGCAATTTTAATCTGGAAAATTGACAAATTCGATTTTGTTGCTTGTTTGGGAGCTTTTCTTGGTGTGGTTTTCGCATCAGTGGAGATTGGTCTTTTAATTGCTGTAAGAATTAGATCATCAAATGTTGATTTTATATGATTCTTTTATATTAGTGGTTGATTTTGATTTTTTGATTTTGTTGATTTAGGTCTCGATATCTTTTGCTAAGATTCTTCTTCAAGTTACAAGGCCAAGAACTGCTATTTTGGGAAGGATTCCAATGACAACTGTTTATAGGAACATTCAACAGTATCCGGAAGCAACTAAAGTCCCTGGTGTTTTGATTGTCAGGGTTGATTCTGCTATTTATTTCTCTAATTCCAACTACACTAAAGAAAGGTAACAATATTTTTGTATCATGTAAAAAGAAACATTTGAGATGGGCTAAAATGAGTTTTTTTTGCAGAATATTGAGATGGTTAACCGAGGAAGAAGATCATTTGAGAGCAACATATCAACCAAAAGTTCAATCCTTGATCATCGAGATGTCACGTAAGTTTTTTTTTTGTTTATTAATTTGCAACATTTGGGTTTTTGTAGCTTATATTTATATATTTGTGTTTGCAGCTGTTACAGATATCGACACTAGTGGAATACATGCATTTGAAGAGTTGTACAGGAGTCTGGTTAAGAGAGATGTTCAGGTGAGCAAACCTTGTGTTTTTTTCTCATTAACCCCTCTCTGGATTAATTCAGTTGAGTAAAAAGAAAAGAGTAATGTTACAAAAAGTTTGTTGTCTGATGATATGACATGACAGCTTGTTCTTGCAAACCCTGGTCGACTGGTGTTAGACAAGTTATATGCATCGGGTTTCCCAGATCTAATAGGTGAAAACAAGATCTTTCTCACAGTTGCAGATGCTGTTCTCACTTGTGCACCCAAGATCCTTCAACAAGTATGATCAACCAACTTCACCACATGAAATGAGCAGAGTTTTTGTAGATATGAGCTCTAGATATCCATATATACATACATATATATTATAACTCAAAACTACAATAACAAGAAGAAAGCATGAAATTTTGGAGGGGAAAACGTTTAGTCAGCGGTTAGACATTCAAACTTGTTGTGGATCTGTAAAATGGAGAAAGGTTAAAAGATTGAAGCTCCTAAAACGGTTTTTGGATCTCTTCAGTTCTTTGTTTTAGGATGCTTGCAAGCTTTAGATGTAACGAATCAATCTGAATCAAGATTTCATGTTTCCTTTGAAGGGGTATTATTGTACTTCAATGGTTGTTTTTTATTTATATGTTTTTACTTTTTAATGTGGGTGGGATTTCTCCAATGCTCAAAAATTTCAAAGCTGTTGCGTAGAAGCAAGTTGCTATATCATCATTGTGTTGGGTTAGGGAAACTTTACTAAAAAAAAAAAGAAAAAAAGTTAATGGTTCGTATTATTGATATTGTTGTAATTTAGATGATTCCAACAAGTCATTTTATTCCATTAAATGGTGAATAAATACAACAGAATGGGTCATAGTCCCAACTATACGAAACTTGAGGCCTATATGTGAGACAAAAAAAATACATTAATATTCCCCTACAATTTGAATTTTAGAGAAAGACTTGAACATTCAAAATGCACCAAAAATAGATGAGATAAAAAACATTTGTCGAAGATATCAACATATTATAAAAGATAATGGAACATAGAGAACACAAACTTCACCGTTAGTCATTGTTATGAACAAAGTGGATGTCAACCTTGGTGTGTTTCGTGCGATGATATTGAACCAGATTTGAAGAAGTATAAATTACATCCACTTAATCACAAAACACAATAGTGGCTTTGGAAAATGGAGAGAAAAGCTCACAAAGAAGATTCCTTTATGTTCCAACAACTTCATACACAATGATACTATATTCAACATGGACACTGGAATGAGAGATCATGGGTTATTACATGGATGACCATCAGAGAAAGATTATCACGTAGATAAACGTAATAGCCTAATGTATTCAAAGGGCATCCCCTTAATCAACCTCAAAGTAAACAGTTTGTCATAATAGTCTGTTGTCATTTTGAGAGGAAATTTTTTGAAGACCAAGATCCAAAATACCCGCAAAATGTGCTTAAGTACCCTAAGTAAGGCTCTCAAGGAATATCATACATAAAGAGACAAATTTGTTGCACAACATATTCGAGACCCAGTCGGGTAAATGTAAGATATGTAAGAGCCCCATCAAGGCTTAGAAAAAAGTGTGATCCTGAACAGGAGAATATTGGGTCCAAGCTTGACCTGAGTGTCAACATGAGTGAGAGTTGGCATGCAATTGGCCAATTAAACATGATCAAGAATGTCAATCACATATGTCAAGTGTTGAATTTGACACTAGTTGTATTTTTTAGATTATGTTCAAATTTAATGAGATGCTTCATTTATTTGTGGGTAGATAGGAAAAGAACACATGGTAGTTTGGGTTCTTGTAAAATTTGATTTTCCATTTACTATCGATGACGTGTGACATAAATCATGGAGAGGGGATGTGTGGGTGTGTATTTGTAATTTTTTTTTGTATAATTTGTACCTCGACGTCTCATTTAGTTGTACAAATTGGTATTGAGTCTTAGCTGTTGCACATATTGTCTCAAGTCTCAATAACTCATAAAGCGATCATGCTGAGGTTATGGTTAGTGATACATAACATCAGGGTCTTGGGGGTCTAAGGCTTTGGGTAGGGCCGTAAACGAACTGAACGTTCAACGAACTGTTCGTGAACCGTTCGGCGGGAAGTTCGTTTATGTTCGTTTATTTAATAAATAAACGAACATGAACACAAATTCTCGTTCGTTTAGTTAAACGAACGAACATGAACAATGGTCTCGTTCATTCAATTATGTTCGTGAACATTTGTTTATGTTGTTCGTTTACGTTTGTTTATGTTCGTTCATATAAGTTCCTTTTATCTTCATATATGTTTAATTGTGTTTGATTATATTACTATATTATATGTTCATATATGTTTGTTTATCTTTGTTCGTTTGTTTATGTTCGTTTAGCATGTTCACGAACATAAACAAACGAACATGAACAATGTAATTTGTTAAACGAACGAACATGAACAAGAAAACTCGTTCGTTTAACTGTTCGTGTTCGTTCATTTGTTCGGTTAACTTAAACGAACGAACATGAACAAGTCTCGTTCGTGTTCGTTCGGTTCGTTTACAACCCTAGCTTTGGGGTTCTATGTAACGAGAGAAACTAGTTGCATCACGGATGACAAAAGAACCACAAAACTAATAGTGAAAACTCAACATCAACATCATCACACCGCATTCAACATCGAGTAACGAGGGGCGGTGACAAGTCTGATAATTATTCTATTTTTCTTTAAGGGACGGGATCCTAGGACGGTTTGATTATCCCGACCCGTTTCCCGAACCCGAACCCGAACTTATCATATGTTTTATGTCGACTTCTTTATTTAGTATAAGAAATATAATTAGACCAAAAACAACCACACATAACCATAAAGTGCTGCCCTTAAATTAACAATTGTATAAATCATGCAAATGAGTCGCTTGATATCGTAAAAGACAAACCACCCTTTCACCCAATAAATGTCTCAAAATCGACTCACAATTACGGTTAAAACAAAATATGTTTATACACTATAATAATTTTGACAACTCCAATTTAGATACTCGGTCACGAGGCTATTAAATAAGATAAGGTTAAATTATCACTAATCCACGAAAATGACACATACACAAGTGATATCTGGAATGCATAATAGTAACACAGTCGTTATTCCTTAAATCATAATGTCATCCAAAGAATCAAATTGGTCATGTACCATCCATAGAATGTCATAACGAACCGTTTAGACCAACAATCATATCAAAAAAAAAAAAAAAATCATAAACCAATTAACTATTGAAAATTGCATAATGTAATAACTAAGAACACAATTTTCTTAGTTGAATTAAACTTTTTTGTAACAAGTGAGATTTAAACGAAAGCCAAGTAACACGTTTGTACAACTTTTGCAAACTTTCGAACCCCGTCTTCAACGCGGTTACGCAAGTTGCGGAAACTTTTCATTGAGTAGATCGGATGGCACATGATTCTAAATGTGACACCGAGTATTTAGGCGCTTTCTCTTAAATTCGGTGTGATCACTAATCACACTCGCTATCTCTTAAAGTATCATCCACGCGCCAATAAAAACCATACACGTACCCAATCGTGACATACATTCGCTCTTAAAACAGTTGTAACTGCATTAATCATTCCACCGCCACACAGGAACATTTCACGAGTGCCCGATGTGCTCCCCGGCGCACATTAGCATATGCCATCCCAGCCCCTACCACTATCAGTATCACCTCTTTTTCTTCTTCATCTAGGGTCTGTCCATAATAACAAACCACTGCTCTTTACTCTCTTTCCATCACACACATTTGCGCAAAAGAAACACACAGTAATGGCGAAATCAGTGTTGATGTTAGCGCTATGTGTACTATTGCCGGCGCTCATCAGCGCTTCACGTCCGATGTCGCGTCCGTTCCTCTTGCAAGGCAGAGTTTACTGCGATACTTGCCGTGCCGGTTTTGAAACCTCCGCCACCACTTACATTCCTCGTAAGTTTACCGATCTCTTTCTCGATCTGTTCTTATTAGCTTTGTATAGTTTTCTGTGAATTTTGTTTTAGAAGATCTTTGAAATTTATATAAACGAGACACTTATTGTGAATTGTTTAGTAGATCTGAACTTCGAGTAGCAGTATACCAAATAAATGGATGAATAAGTTGTTTTGTGTAACACCGAGTCCATATTCTTATCAAGAATTCAGCGGTGAATAGTGAGGGCTAATTCTGTTGAATGTTAAAATAATATAAATTTTCAACTCGGATTTTGTAAATTAATTTTTCTTATTTAATAGTACGTTGATGTCGCGTATCATTAAAGCATAATCATGTAGTTATATTGCCGTTATAATCATACAGTTACAAATTTTCTTATAATAGTCGAGTGATTGGGGAATCCGTTCTTGGATTGGATTTATACTAGAAGGTTTTCATGATATACATTCTAAGATGATCCGTAAGAATGGTGTATCTGAAGATCTACTAGCAGTATGCAAATGTTAGTCGTTCTTGTTGCTACTTAGACCTGTTATAGAGTAATGCTCACAGTTGCCCCTCCGGTTTATTTTTGTTGTTAATAGGGTTGTATGAAATTCTTATACCCCCAGAACAAAATTCAAAATCAAATTATATGTATCATTCAGGTTCATATATAGATTGTATGGTTCTGCTATATTGGGTGATCGTTATCTATCCCAATTGGGATTTGTAATGTGTAAAATGAATTATGTCATTGATCCTTGTCTGATCATTTATGTGGATCCTAAAATGCGCATCTGAATTTCATAAGAAATCAATGCACACTAGATTTTTGTATGGTTGAATCATACAGGCTGATCTATAGTTTTTAGTTAGATTATGTGGTTTGTATGAACACAATCAGGATACTTTTGAATGTGTGCTTCTGATTTACTTGTTTCTACAATAATGGCTACAGAATCTATTATCAAGTGTGGCATTAATAAATTAATATATTGTTGGATTGTAATTGTAATTAATGTAGGTGCTAAGGTGAGGGTGGAGTGCAAGAACAGGCAACAGAAAGTCTTGTACAGCATGGAGGGAATGACTGATGCAACAGGAACATACCACATCCGTGTGAATGAAGATCATGGCGACGAGACATGTGATGTGGTCCTTGTCAGCAGCCCACTTGGCAACTGCAATAAGGCTGACCCGGGACGTGACCGTGCCCGTGTGGTTCTCACCAGCTACAATGGGATTGTGTCTGACACACGTTTTGCAAATGCCATGGGGTTCATGAAGGATGAGGTCATGTCTGGTTGCACCACACTCCTTCAGTCTCTCATGGAAGAAGAGGATTAGAAAATTTGTGTTTCTAAATTCTTGGTTAGTATGGGTTTTATGAGTAATGGTTGCTTAATACATTCTATTTTTTTGTTTGTAATGTTGTGGTTGATATAAAGGATTAACAACGAACGAAACATCTTGTTTCGGATGGAATGGGATGTTCATGAATCATGCATATGCAGAGTGTCTTGTTTTGATTTCTATATATGATTGGTTGTTGATGAGTGTAAACTTACTTTTCTCAAGATGGTAGATAAATAACAAAGAAGGTTGATAAAAATATACATATAATCCTCATCTTCTGTTCCCTGTGCTTGCATTCAAGATTCCAACATTAGCAGCTACAACGCTGCTGGCAGAGTTGGTATTAATTTTGATGGTGAAACAAGTAAAGCAGAACCCAACATTCCACTCTGTCTCAGGGGGTGTCGCATGAACGACAAAATTTAACTAAAAGCTATAACGACTGTGGTGTGGATGTAAGCATCGAAGATGTTGACTGGGTTGGGTCCACCAGAGGCCTCAGCTTTTTATAATACCATCGACGATGCTCCTCGATTGACGACGACCACCTTCAAGACCCCCCATACTTCTAATTTCCTATCTATCTATCTTATATTCTAATGAAATCTAAAAATGCCATTGTCTATTTTTTAACATGCCTCTTTAACACTTATATTTTTACTATGATTTCTATTATTATTTTTTTTTTAATAAAAAATCAACTTTAATTCAAGTTTTAAAAATACAAAATCCCATCATAATAACATTTTCAAAATATATGATAAAATATTATGTTTATTTTACTTAAATTAATTCGGAATTACTTAAAATCAACAATACGTTGAATTTTTTTTTTGACATTTTTTTTTATCTAATATAATAATTTTAAATATATTGACCGTGGTTTTCACGGATTATAACCAAATAATAAAAATATAAATAAACAAACAGAACCTACCATTCCCTCCATCCAATTCTTTTCTTTTTCATATTGTTCCTTATCGCCGGAGCATTCACTATTTTGCCATTAAATCATGTCTAGGATACAATATCTCCACCTAGTGCCGGAAAGTTCATATACCCACCGATGATGAACCTCGCCTGTAATGTCTCATTTTTTGCAATAATTTTTTTAATTTTTAATTAAGATAAAAATACCACTTTCATAAACCCAAAGCCAATAAAACCATATGTTCCAAAAGGTAAATCATAAAATCAGAGTCTGATAAATAAATCCGGAATCAGAAAACAAGAAAGTTGTTGATAAGTGTCTACAGTCACACCTTCACCTTTCCGCGATCCTCAAAAATACCTAAAACATTTAAATCCACAACTGTAAGCCAAATATTTGTGAGTTTTCCCAAAATACTATACACAACAATATACATACCATGCATACAAGTAATGACCTTCAACACGAAGTTGGTCTGTCCCTTTGGCCTTCAGCATAAAGTTGGTCCGCTCCTTTGGTCTTCATCATAAAGTTGGACAACCACGAGTGTCTTGGTCATCAGCACAAAGCTGGACCACCCTCAACTCGCTCATAATATATCGACATAAATAAATACACAAACAGACAAACAAACAACCCAACAATGACAGACAACTATCTAAACAAGTCTACCTGCCTAATAGCTCATTACAACATACTAACATCCTATCATATAGAGGATCCATACCATTGTATACAATATAATACAAAAACTCACCTAAAACTCAAGCGGAAAGATCAACACTCAACGACTCGCCAAACAGTTATACGAATCTCCTAACCTGTCAAAGGTCAAAGCCTCAGTCTACCACTCAAAACCCTTAGTTTGACCAAAAGTCAAATTGGTCAAAAATGGCCACGGCCACCGCGTTGTGATCATTAAAGTCCAAAATAGTCGCGTGGTCATACTCTATCGCGTCATGGCTACGCTCCAAAACAACTTAATGAATTAAGCTCTTAACCCTTAATCTCTAAAGCTAAAAAACTCGGATCTGATTCTCTTAAGGATCTTAATGGATAAAGTTTCCAACTTTATCCATTCTCATGTCTCAAATGTATCTAAACTCTAAACCTAATTCTAAGGTGGACCAAAACACATGCTTGCCATTAAGAGGAAGCATATAAACACATCGTTCTTTCAACACTCCAATCCAAAAGTCGTTTGGATCGCTTATAAGGTCCTGGAGTTGCTCAACTCCAAGGATATCAAGAAAAGGGACTCAAAACCACCCAAAAGAAGCATACACCTAGATCTAAATAAGCAAATGTCAAGGACCAGAAACTTGATGAGAAGCCGGACCAAAGATGAAACTTCACTCCCTAGCACCAATGCGGAACTTCTTCTTCACTAAGCTTCACAAGAACAAGGTCTAAAACTCAAAACACATCAATAGAGGCTTGGGCTTGAGTGATGGTCGTTCTTAGAGAATGGGGGCTGCTAAATGAGGTAACCCTAAAAGTTAGAGCCTTTAAAAATGGTCCAAATCTCGAGACCTAGGGTTTTGAACCTCAACAACCACCACGCCGCGATGAGGACCTGACCGTGCGCCACTTAATGATGTGTCGCATGCTATGGTCCAGACCTTACTGCGTCGTGGTGCAAATAAATCCCTAATCTCAACAAAAAATAAAACAAAATACCTGGAACACGGATATTACATCGCCTCTACCAATGCCCACCCACAACACTGAAGAAATTTGCCTTACCATGTGTCGAAACCATTAATAAAATCTCAATAGCATCTCTCTCTATAAACTCGGATAGTTAGATGATGACATAGACTATATTGAAGCAATTAAGGAATCCAATTTTTGGGGAACTGTTATTATATATGTTTTTTTTGTTTGTCGCCCTTCTAATGTCATATAGTCTCATAATCTGCTAATGTTTGGAAATTAACGTGGAAATTACTAGCTAAAGACATAAGTAACAATATATTGAATTACATGTCTACAACGGTAAAACAATTTCAAACGTTCACATTTCTTTATATTCTAAATTCTTTCATATGATATTCTGTATTTTTTTTGCTCTTTCTTTTAAGAATAAAAGTTTTAGATGATGTCATTGAAAATCTTGCATTGATAGAAATGGAAAATAATATGAAAAAATGATAGCAACTTACATAGATTCCCTTAAATTCCATATCTAGTTGCTAATCTTCTTTGTTAATCAAAATAACTTAATCCAAAATCAACTGACAATCTGATTGAACAATTTTAAGATCACAATATGAAATTTTAATGAATCAACTCACACGTGAACATAATGATGGATAATAATAGTGGAAGAATGTTCTTATTTATGGATATAGTAAAGGTGAACAAACATATGTTTGGAGGACCTTATTTGCAAATATATTGTTCTTACTGTCGCATCAAGTGGAATAGCCTTGTTATTGCTTATAGGAGGATGGACTATTCATTCAATATTTTCAATTTCGATTAACGTTGATGAAGACTTAGTTTGTTTCATTGATAACGACATTGAGCTGTTTCAGTTGCTTAAGAAGACAAAATAAATTATTTCGGATGAGGCTCCGATGGTGCTTATACATTGTGCTGAGGCTTTATATCCCTATGTCTTATCAAAAACACAAAATAACACATATTTTCATCAACATGCTATGTTGGTACCTATAAATGAAGAAGTGAGTTAGATAAACGAGTATATGCTTAATCATATCCCCGATGATTTGCCCATATATTTAAGTTTAGAAAAATTATGCAATTAAGAACAATACAATTCTATGACCAAAACGTTGTACTCATGTCCTAAATTCTATCAAATTGTCGGGAATACCGAATCATGAAATAAAGTTGAAAATAGGTTTCACGATAATGTTGTTGCATAATCTTCATCAGTCTATAGGGCTATGTAATGGAACACTCATGCATGTAATCAACCTAGTAAAAATATGTTATTGAAGCATAAATAATTTTTGGAAATAAAATTGGAACTCGAATGTTCATACCTATGATTTGTTTAACTCATATGTTAACGAAACATATGTCATTCAAATTTTAACCCACAAACCATTCCTCTTGGTGTTGTGTTTTGCAACGAGAATCAATAAAAGTCAAGGCCAATCATTTTTGAGAGTTTGATTATTCTTGTGAAGACCCATGTTCACCAACGGACAACTATATGTCCACTTTGTCTAGAGTAACAAACAGAAAAAAAATTAAGGTGACAATCAAGGATGAAGAAGACAACTTACCAAACACGACTAACGTTGTCTACAAAACAATAGTTCAAGGTTTATAAATGTCACGCTGTTCATCAAGATTGGGTTGATGATATTTGAGTATATTCCAAACAAAATAAGATATAGATTGTGTTCTTAGATTTATTTATTTATTATTATTATTATTATTTTTTGCTTATGTAATATTAAGAGCTTTGTAACGGATGCATTATATAATGTTCATATTAATATGTTTAATAATTTCTTAATTTTAATATGTATATGGTAAAACTATTCTGAGAATAAATATCATCGAATGAGTGTTCATATCAGTCTATCATATAGTTATACGTAATTTGAAAAGAACTTTCTCCCTACGTCCCAAATCATAAATTTGCAAAATTCAATGAATTTTACAAAATTTAAAATTTAGCTATATAAAAGTAATTTTACAAAGTCTATTAAAAATATAAGTTGTTTTTTTATTATACTTTAATAAAAAATAATTTTATTTTATAATAAAAGACATCTCATTTTGGTATCTTGGTGAATAAACCCTTTGAAGGTTCTCATTGTATCTAACGCCTACCTCGTGATATATAGCACCTGCCTAAACACCTACCTAGCAACTTACGTTCTTCACCAATACAAGTTGACATAGAATTATAAAAAGGGGTGCCAGATTTTCCTCTCATTTTCTTCTCCCCCTTTTTCCAGACACGAATTTAGAACCCTTTCTAACGATTCGCAAAACCAAACGCCATAAGAAACTCTTTCTAAAACAATCACAAGTCTCTCGCTTTTTGTTGATCGTCTTCTTCTCCGTCAACTTTTTACTTCTCCCTGCAACCAACGCTGTCTCTGCATCGATTGTATCGCCAAATCCCAAATCATTCACTTTCTTTTGCTTTATAAGTAATGTAAGATCTGTTTTTCTAATTCTCTTTGTAATTTGCACGAAATTATTTGATTTTTTGATCATTTATTAGGTAAAGTTTCAATATATTTGTCAAAGCTGTTTTAATCTTGATACGTTTCTTATAGTTGTGTGCCCTAGAGTCCACCTTTGGTGATACTCATTTGCTAGTATTTACATTTGAAGTTGTGTGTAGCATACATTAATTCGTGTAAAGTACGTGTATCTTAATCTCCGTTGGTTGTTAGTAACTCGTCGATTTATTATTATGGTTTTTGTGTTAACTTAAAACCAGATCTGCTTGTGTTTTCGTTTCAATTCCTCCCTCAAGCTAGTTTTGACTTCTGTGTCAAACCTAACAATTTTCCAGATGCGAAATTGGTATGGATTTTGTTGCAGATTTAAGGCCATCGTTACTGTATTAGTAGCGGTGGTTATTAGGTTTAATATAATTAGAAAAAACAATATCAATAGAAAGATCAAACCCCGTTTAAGTTTTGAACTTGAAAACTATATTTTTGACTTCCAAAGTCAAATTGTAGCTCTTCTCTTAGAAGCCAATAGCTAAGATAAACAGTATGAAATATGCGACAAATAACAAAGATTTTGATCTTGTTATAATCTAATCTGTTTACGATGGTGAAAGTCTATTTTCATGATATGAAACCTATATGAAAATATTTCAAAATCACTGAAATTTGGTTAATTGTTGGTTTCTAGAATGGCTGCAACTATGTTCCACCAATCCATTGGTACTCTCGAGCCTCGAGGGTATATTGGTAATTCTGCCCTTCACCAGGAATGTGGAAGTATTCCTATGAGGTTGATGGCAAGAAGTTTAAAATTCGGGACTGGACCATTGAAAAGAGAACATTATTGCTCTAGAAAGAGAAGTTGTGGATCAATTCAAGCATCATCATCATCATCATCATCTTATCAAACTTCAGAGTGCAATCCATTAAATGGCAACACTTCCAAGAAACCAAGTACGAAATCTTGCTTCAATTCACATTTGATAAGTCCAAATTGAAATATAATTGGTGTTTCAGGTGAAGCGGCTTTGATATTGATAAGGCATGGTGAGTCTCTTTGGAATGAGAAGAACTTGTTCACAGGTTGTGTTGATGTGCCATTGACAAAGAAGGGTGTGGAGGAAGCCATTGAAGCTGGAAAAAGAATAAGCAATATACCAATTGACATGATTTATACTTCCTCTTTGATTCGTGCACAAATGACTGCTATGCTTGCCATGACTCAACATCGTCGCAAAAAGGTACTAAAATTCTAAAACAAATTTAAGTCAGATGCTATGATAAACAAATAGATTAAAGTATGTTTTCTTTTTCTTGTATTTGTCCCTAAATTTATAAACTGGTATGTATGTATGTATGTATAATGTAGGTGCCTATTGTGATGCATGATGAAAATGAACAAGCCAAGGCTTGGAGTCAAATTTTCAGTGAAGAAACAAAGAAGCAGTGTATACCTGTTGTGACAGCTTGGCAACTAAATGAAAGAATGTAGGTGTTAATATCTTTATACTGGGTTTTTGGTTGGGTTGACTTTTTGTTGACTTGATTTTTGTTTTTTGTTTTGTGGAGGTATGGGGAACTACAGGGTTTAAATAAGCAGGAAACAGCAGATAAATATGGAAAAGAACAAGTGCATGAATGGAGGCGTAGTTATGATATTCCTCCACCAAATGGGGAGAGTTTGGAAATGTGTGCTGAAAGAGCCGTTGCATACTTTACACAACAAGTCAGAATGCCTTGCAATTATACTATTTCATATTTCTTTTTTGTTGTCTTGTGTTAAATGATTTTTTATTTGACCTTTGTGAACATTATTCCATTAAATTTTTAAAGATTTGAAATGTGTTTCAGATTGAACCTCAACTGCGAGCAGGAAAGAATGTAATGATTGCTGCACATGGGAATTCCTTAAGATCCATCATAATGTATCTTGACAAACTCACTTCTCAAGAGGTGTGTGTGTGTGTGTGTGCAAAAGACGTAAATGCCCTCCTGTCTCAAGCTTAGTTTGGAATTATTCTGAAAACTATTATTTTTTGTTAGGTAATAAGTTTGGAACTATCAACGGGGATACCGATGCTTTACATTGCCAAAGAGGAAAAATACATCAGAAGAGGAAGTCCAGCAGCTCCTACTGAGGCTGGTGTCTATGCTTATACTAAGGTCAGCCCATATTTTTTGATGTTAATTTGTAAATTCCATTGAAAATACATTAATTTGGATTTAATGATTTATGTATGTATTTGGTTGTTGCAGAATTTGGCTAAATACAGGCAGAAGTTAGATGAGATGCTGCATTAATTAATGTTGAAGAATCTCACCTGCTTAATTATAAACAATGGAATTTAGCTTAGATCGTGTTTACTACCCATATATGAATGAACATTGGTGAAGCAGTGGAAAAGCAAATTCTCTACTGCTTTATTAATTGAAAATAAAATGTTTTTTTGTTATTATTTAAATAGTGGATGATGGCTTTATTTATAGAAAGGAGTTCATGGTGTGGTCATTAACAAACTTTGATTCCTAAAAAGTTGTTAACAGTTAAACATCTGTGAGATTTAAACTTGAAATCGTTCAACATATATGCAAAATGAAGGTGGAATTGCGCATTTAGAATTTAGACATGGAGTTTTCTTTATTAAAAAATTTATAACTGGAAACCAACCTGAAAACAGTTGATGTTTTCCTTTTCAGTTAAGTTACGATTGGTGAAAAGTCAAACATATTTTTCATCAAACCATGGATGCCAAGTCCATGCCACAAAAGTAAGAAAATCCATAAATTTTGACTAGTGACTTGAATGATATAAAAATATTAGGTTTACTAACATCAAAGGACAGCATTATAATCATTACTCAACAAACAAAAATTCTGATTCAAGAACACATGATAAAACTGAATTAGATTACCAAAACATTAATTTATGAAATAAACAGCCTTCAATGATGTCAAGTTAGCCAAAAGAAAAAAAAAAAAAAACGTAAGTTTCAAATTAAAAAAACGAGCTGAAAAAATGGGCAATTTACTAAGCCTCAATCCGGGCACCTCTTCCACCACCATCAGCCGCCTCGATCTTTTGAGCTTCCGCCAATATGGCCTCCTCATTAATCTCCGGCGACTTTGGTTTCCCGCCATCGGAATCAGAATCAGAATTTGTGGCGGTGAATTCGGAGAAAGTGGAGCCCCGACCCCTTGGTGTGCTTGAGCTGCATTCTCCATTACAAAGAGCAACTCTCTTTGCATCATCTTCTTTCATTCTTGCTGCATATATTTTAAGGTCAAATTTTGCTTCATTTTTCCCGCCAAATGCAGACTCGAGTCTGTCTATGTAAAACATGCTTTCCATGATGTTCTTTGTGTTTGGATCATCCGAATATACAAACTTCACTTTGTTTGCGGTTTTTGGCTCCAGAAACGGTTTCACAACCTGAAATAACATAATTCTCAACTCACACTGTAAAGTGTTGTCTGGATAAATGATGTTTAAAATATATATGAGAAATAAGTTTCAACATTTTCCTATATAAACTAGAAGTCTAAAACTACATGTTTGACCTCAAGTCAAACCGTTTGTATGTACATACCCTCCAAAATGGTTCAAAGAATCTGGGTGGATTGTAAAGAATTGCTAGGCCGAGCCTCTCGGGATAGTGATCTTGCAAAATATGAGCTGTTTCTTTTGTGGTCTTGATGGATACATTCGACATACTAAACCCATGAAAATCAATCAACCAAACCATTTGTTCTTGTTCTGGTGGCAAATTAAGTATCGCGTTTTCCATGCAATATACCAAATATTTTATTTGTGCTCGCGTTGACTTGGAGTTCTGCAGTCAAAGATGAAAAAAGAGTGTATTGAAACAAACATAAGTCAAACCAGAAAAAAATAGAACACTTCATTCATGATGTCCAAAGGGAAAATGTGAGGTGAAACCTGGCATTTTGGTCTCATAACGAGTATGGTCCTCCCTTGCTTGTCCATAAAACTTGATCGATAGATTTTTCCCGTTTCTGCCTCGGGCGCAATATGATCCTACAACAAATAAACAACATAACACAAAATAAAAGAGTAAGGAACAACATCGAGGTTGCATCTATTAACAAATTACACAATAAACTATGTGTACGTGTTTAGTAAGACCAGGATATGACAAAGACATCACATGACTGGTTGTACCTGTTTGGTAAGACTAGGATATGACATGACATAATTGGATGTCTATATAGTGTTTGTTAAGACTAGGATATGATATGACATGGCTGGATGTCTGTATAGTGATTGGTAAGACTACGACATGACATGACAAGCTATTTATGTGTATGGTATAACATGACATGATTTTTCTTGATTTGACTGTTGTTTGTATAGTATTTGGTAAGACCAAGACATGACAACACAAGCTATCTATAAGCATTTGGTAAGGCCAGGACATGACACACCAAACTAGTTGTATGAAAAGAGACGATGATATAAGAAACTAAATGAGAGTGAAGTAATGGTAAAGATTTGGTTAAGAAGAGTTTACCCAACGAATATCTTCGGGCCTGTAACTCATTCTCCATATTAGGGATGTTTCAAGCATTTTTTCTGCTTTTTTAACGTTCCAATTTCGTGCCCTTAGATATCTTGAAATAGATTCATCAGATAAATAACGAGTATACTCATCCTTAAGCCGCTGTTTGATCTTGTCAATGGACTTATGCTTCTCAATTCCCTTCCGCACCTCATTTAATCTAATTTAAAACGTAGTCATGGTACCCTCACTTAACTATTTAAAAAAGTAAAGAGAAATTAAATATCATCCTACATTTTCTTCCTACATATTTTCCTATCCATATGAAATGATGACATGTGTCATATTTTGAAAAAATTAATTATATTTTTGGACACTTGTCATCATTTCCATTGGGTAGGAAGATAATTAGGAAGAAAAGTAGGAGGATATTTAATTTCTCAAAAAGTAAAATATAGAAAAGCACTTGTGTTTTTATGTTTAATCAATTTTAACTACACTAATTGTTATAGTAATTAAACTGTTATACTTTTTCTGACCATTTAAGAAATATTTTGATATCCTCTCAAAATACAAAAAAACACAATGTACTTTCACCATTATATCGAGCTTAACCCTAAATTCTTATTTATCTCTAGTTACCCGGTTTTGGATAATATGGTTTAGACACTACATAGAATATTTAAGTGGCTAAATTGATAAAATTGTGAGTATACAAGTGTTTTTCTCTGTATTTTACCCAATTTGAAATGACACATTTGAAGTATTTCAAAACATACCAACTTTGGTTGATCTTGTGCGGATACGGAAACACTCGAGCTTGATTTCCTCAACTGTGGATTCATAGTATAAGAAATCCTGTATCTGAAGGATAAATAATAAAATTAACTAAAATAATCAAAGTTATTAAGCTAAATTCAATCAAATAAACTTCATAAAGAGATGATTACAACAAAAATTTTTGTCAAATTTGTGACAAAATCCATACCAAGTTTGATTTGAAAACAATAGGTTTGAACATATAAAGTCAAACTGATTTTTTTTCTTTTTTTATTTTATATCAAGTTATCAACAATATATTTATTATCTCTTCAAAGAATGAGAAAAAGAGTAACCATATAATCAAAGAGCAAGCATGCATCGACTACAACATAAACATTCATGCACTGTCACCCAAAAAGCAACCTATTTTTCATCAAATTCTCATGAAAACAATCAATGGAAGAACTCTTCCAATTCATAAACGGAAGAGTCTGAACAATTCAAGAACAATCGTGTATTGATTGAAAAGTCTAACATCTTTTTCATCAGACCCCATAACCACACAAGTATAAGCAACTAAACACACAAATGACACAATCAGGCAAAGAACACTTCAAATTCATAGAGGGGAAAGTGACACAATTCAAGAATAATCATGCATTCACTATTTTTTTTATCTATTCCAATTACCCACAAAAATATAAGCAACTAATCACCAGTATAAGATAGTTGGATCAAGAAGAATTCAGATTCCAGATGGATACATAAAAAGAAATTAGTAATATTTATTAAATCAAATCCAGTCCAAGGAACACATAGCCTAATTCTACAAATTCTACGCAATTACAGATTATCATATATACACATCGCGATCACTAAAATACGCAATTTCAATAAGAAAACAGGGGGTGGAAAAATTGTCTTACCGAAACGAAATCAGCAAACTAAAAAGAGTTGTTCATGGAAGAGAATAAAAAGATTTTTAGAAAAATATATAAAAAAAGATGGGAGATTACCTCTTTCTTCTGGGGTTGTGACGAGAGATTGAAGAACAGAGTATACGGAGATCTCAAAGAAGATGAAGATGTAACCATCAAGATGAGAAATAAGAAGGGTGATTAAATTATAAGTAAAGTGTATTAATTAGGGATTTGAGAAAAATCAAAAGATGGGTTCTTGTTTTTATTGATGAGGATCAATAGAAGGAGCCATGTGGCGATGGGGGAGAAGAAAAACAGGCAGATTGTGATGTGAATGAGATGATAGCGAAGCTCAAGTTCGGATGGTTTCTTGGACATGGTCAAATTCGACTTGCCACAAGCAGGGTATCTAATATATTTTGAACAACCTTTTTATTTTATTTTATTTTACAACAAGCTTTTAGAAAACATAAGAAGATTCCAAAACAACTGTCCTATACCCTATATACATATAATCTTTTATAAACTTTGTACTTTTGTATCGTTATTATATTATATATTATCAAATTTAATATATTTAACTAATGTCAAAACTAATTATAATACTAAAAATGTAAAATCTAGATTTGATATAGATGTAATATAATGTTGACTAGTACATTATTATTATAATTTGTGACACCCCAAAATTTCGGCCCACAGAATACCTAGATTAACATCTTTGTATATCGGGACGACTCGGGTTTTAGACTTTAATGTAACATTTTAAAAATTAACCATATTTTTTTTTCAACAACAGAGTATGATAATACTAAAAAGGGTTTCATCCATAAGATAACAACATAGTCTCGTAATCAAATTTCATCAAAATGTGGAAGCTAGTCTTGTTTTGTAAACGAAAACACAAAAAGATAACATAAATACATGGCATGCCCCTAACATGTCTAGAAATTCCAATCAAGCAAACTCCGTACCCTTCAAACCTGAAGGACCTGCAGCTAAAATGTAAAATAGCAACTGTAAACTCAAAGCTTGTAATCATAACACTCACCCATTATACAGATCATATGCATTTCTCATCATACACATAAACATCAAATAGTAATCACATATAACTGAACACATAACATATGTTAGCATAATCTTCTACCCCAGATGGTACAATTAGAACTTCCCTCACTTAAGGGGCTATTCCCTAGTAATCCACCATGCAACCATCCGTACATGGCCATCTAGACCAAAACAACTGGATTCCCTCCGTGAGGTTTTTCTCCAGTTGTCTAATCCATGACCACTTCCCTCCGAGAGGCTTTTCGTGTCTTACATCCTTTAATTCAACTAGATTTCCTCTCTGAGAGGCTTTTCTCTAGTTGGCATACATATAACACATAACCCATATAATAAGTAAGTTCATAACCTGATTAGAAGACAATATGAAAATCCACAATTCAAGCTAGTGATATCAAGTCTTTCCCAAAACTACACAATAAATAACCCTAATTTAACAATTAAGGTAAAAATACTCAACTACACTTCCTTATCGAGTCTAGGTCCAATAAAGACTATTCTATGGAAAAAGACCATTTTGCCCCTCCAATCGTAATCTGAGATTCAATTAAACAAGGTTGGCAAAAAGTCAAACTTGTCAAAAAGTCAATGGCCAACAGCCAACGGTCAACGACAACCACGCCGTGATAAATCCTTGGCCGTGTTGTGGTTGAGTCGCGACAAAACAGTTGCGGGGATCCCTTATCTATCGCGTCGTTTCCGGTCCTTGATCGCGTCGCAATTCCTCTGGTAGAACATTTCATTCATTAAGCACTTAATCCTTACAGATGAAGGCTTAGGTTCTCAAGTACGAATCTTTCCATGGATTTAATGGATAAAGTTTCCAAATTTATCAATTCTAATAACCAAATCCTTCAAGATCTATAACCGTGACGTGATGTTGTCCACTTAAGCTCTATATCGATTGCATGTTTGGTTGAAAACACAACCACAGATCTGCATCTTGAAAGTCATAGACTTGCTTATAGACAAGCTGGAGTTATGGAGATTGCTCATTTCCAAGAACATGGGGTCAAAATGGGTCAAAACCCATTAAAGCTTAGATTTAAACACACAAATGAACCAAAACATAAGTTATGAACACTTATAATGGTCCAGAGAATGCTCAGAATATAGAATCCAACAAGTTTCTTGTTTCCTTGCTTCCAAAAGTGCACACTTGCCCTTCAATGTGCATACAACAAGCAACAATAAGCTCAAAAGGCCAAGAGGGAGGCTAGGGTTTGGTGCATGAGCTCTGAGGATGATGGAGGCTGGGGTGCATGAGCTATGAGGATGACACCTACATCCAAGATCGATAAGGAAGATTATTACCCGGAAGTCTTGTCTAAGACACATTTTTTAGAAGAGGCCGGAAAAATATGAGGAACGGAGGCAAGAAATTGTTGGAACTACCCAAATACGGAACAATACTTCATAACATAACTTCATTAAGCACAATTTTACCATCTAAATGAATATTAATTGATAGAAGGTAATCATCTTTTTTACAACCATAAGAAAAGGACAGCCACAAAATCAATCAACATTCGACAATACACAAAATTAATAGGTAGTACCCATATTATAATATATCAATAAGACTGAAAAAATCAATCAATGGTAGCAATGCCCAAAAATGCGTGAAAGCATTGAATGAGATGAAAACTTCTTCAATCAATACCCACGAAAGTAGATTCTAATACCATAAATATTTACATCCAAGTACGGCTACGGTTTTATTAAAATCACGAAAGCATCAATTACAATGAAGAAAAATATATTGGAAACAATTAGAGAAAATAAACAAAATTAGGAAGACTCATCTCATAAGACTATTTTAATAAGACAATATTAAATAAGTTATCGCTTTAAATATGTACCAACATTTATAACGACTTTAAATTATAAATTTACAATAAAACCCCAAAAATCAAATCTTATAAAAAAATTGAAGTGATGAGAATGAGTGGTAGGTAACTCCTTATCTTGAAATATTAAAAGGTAGTTTATGCATCAAATCGTCGGTCAATGACTTATTATATCTGTTTAATTAAACATTTTGCATCTCTCAAAGAAACAAGTAGTTATGATTGAATAATGAATTTTAAAAATATGTTTGTTGCATTTATAATTATATATCGACGGAAACAAGTAGTTATAAATAGGGCAAATGTCATATTAGCCCATCGAACTTGTTGTGTTTGGAGGAGATGAGGCTATAATGAGATTAAAACATGTTATAGTGGGTTAAATGATCTTTTTAACAGGTTGAACGAGAGTTCATTCCCTTAATGTACCAAAAAAAAAGTTGGGTGACCTTTTAAAACGAACACGACAAATTCGATGCGCTAATATGACATTGCCCTTATAAATATATATCGACGGAAAGCTTTAATAAATTTATTAATCACATACTTTCCACCTAAATTTTGTTATTCCTTTCATGATTTTCTACTCTAACTTCGCTTTGGTTTTTTATGGTGTTAATAAACCCCCTAAAACATAGTTCATAATTCAGAATAAAATCAAGTTGCCTTTTTATGTAAATTTTCAGTTTTAATAAAAGGCAACCAATTCATACTTTTATGCAATGCTCTCTTCAAGCTCTTTGAATTCAAGGTTGAATAATCTCTAGTCTTCGATTAATTTAGCTTTAAAAGTACAATTGACTTGACTTTTTATATAACTTTCAATTAGAGGAATACTCCAGGAGTTTCATGATCAGTTAAATATTCTATTATATTATATTTTATAAACCCCGAAATCCAGTCCCACTGTTGAGTTTGAATTTTGAAACAACATAAAAAAAAAAAAAAAAAAACTTGTGTTTAAAGATGATTTAAATATTGCCTATTATTTTTTATAAAGTGAAAACATGTAACAGGAAGACCACCAACACCCCTAAAAGTAAAGTTTACTTCTTTCTTTCCTTTAAATTTTTATCATCATCAACACCACCCCCTCGTTTCCTTTCTATACAAAATCTTGACTTTGTTCTTCAAGATACTATCTATCTATTATATGAATCAATAACAAACCCTAAATCTTTCTCTATTCATTTTCTATCAACTCATTTTCATCCCCATTTCAACCATCATAACTTACTTGTCATCAACCCAACCCAACCCAACCCGAGTGCGCCGACAACAAAAGCATGGAATGCAAGCCCTCAACTCAAGCATTCATCATCATCATCATGGACTACATGTCAAAAATGGAATGAAGAGATATTTTGCTCACCTCGCAAATTAATGATCGATTTTTGCATATAGCCCATATGCACCTTTTTCATCCATATTTCAAACCACTTTCTTTCACATTTCTGTTCTGTCCCATTTCAGAAGTTATTTAGCAACTCCATCAATCTAAATATGACCCAAACTCAGCTTTTCTTCAAAATCCGTGCATCTCCATCTAAAAAACTCGGATCATGGGTCCCGTTTTCCTGGAACTGTGGTTGAATTTGGTCTCTTTTGAATACCCTGTTGCCAGGCATCCCGTGATCGATCACCCGACTGATCAAAATCATCAAGAGAATTAGAATTCTCAAATGGTGGCTTGAAAGACCGGTAATTCCCGTTTCTTGAAGGATACGATAAGTTTGATTTCTCATCATCTTCTGAAGGTGTCCCTGACCTTGAAGACTCCATGTGATCATTATATGATCGGTGTCTTAACCCGGGTCTCTTCAAACCCCTCATGTTAGAAAACCGTGCCTGTGGTGGAGGTGGATGTGGGCCCTTCGATACCAAGAAATCTTTAGGAAGTGACTCCATGTCCATGTAACATTCCCGTGATTTTGCATCCGCTATAAGTGCACTCCAATCATCCGATTGAACCAATGTACTCGCATTCCCCATCACCTATAATATATAAAACAAACACATAAACTTACTAAATACAAAAAAAGAGAATAAAAACACGGGAAATAAATAATACCCAAAGTGCCCTTTTAGCACGTGTTAGAGCAACATTCATCCGACGAATATCAGCAACAAATCCCACACCGTGATTGGAAGCACGAACACACGACATAATGATGACATCACGTTCTTGCCCTTGAAAAGCATCAACTGTATTGATATAAAGATCCTTCCCTTCTTCTGATTTCAAAACCTCCTCAAATTCACGTTGAATACATTTTAATTGGAGCTTATACGGTGTGATTATACCCACCGAAACTTTCGGTATACCCAATGACTTCACACTTTTCTGAAGATGTTGATATAACTTTAAACAAAACTGTGCTTCATGTATATTCTGATACGATACCGACCCGCCCCGATGCGATTCCCGCCCATGGGTAATATCGTAAAAAACATATGG